CTATAATTCAATTCTTACTAGTAAGGATTACAATTAGAGAGCTCTATAATTCAGTTCTTACTTAGTAAGAATTCAGTTATAGAGCTCTCTAATTGGAATTCTTACTAGTAAAAATTCTGAGGTAGAGCTCTGTAATTATAAATGAATGGAAGTCAATGGAGACATATGACTAGTAAAAATTGATTTGTAGAGCTCTTTAATTGGAATTGTTACTAGTAAGAATTGAATTAGAGAGCTCTGTAATTGGAATTCTTACTAGTAATAACTGAATTAGAGAGCTCTCTAATTATAATTGTTACTAGTAAGAATTGATTTAGAGAGCTCTCTAACTGACATTGTTACTAGTAAGAATTTAATTGTAGAGCTCTCTAATTGAATTGTTACTAGTAAAAATACAATTACGACAAGTAATGCTGGGGATATTTTAAGCTAAAACGGCTTGCCATAGACATATGACTAGTAAAAATGTATTTGTAGAGCTCTTTAATTGGAATTGTTACCAAGAATTGAATTAGAGAGCTCTGTAATTGGAATTCTTACTAGTAAAAATTCTGAGGTAGAGCTCTGTAATTATAAATGAATGGAAGTCAATGGAGACATATGACTAGTAAAAATGTATTTGTAGAGCTCTTTAATTGGAATTGTTACTAGTAAGAATTGATTTAGAGAGCTCTCTAACTGACATTGTTACTAGTAAGAATTTAATTGTAGAGCTCTCTAATTGAATTGTTACTAGTAAAAATGCAATTACGACCAGTAACGCTGGGGATATTTTAAGCTAAAACGGCTTGCCATAAAAGTTTTGTATTGCAGCGTGCAGCAGTTCTCTTAGTGCAGACGAGATGCGCTGATGTGAGGCAATTTTGAGAGAGTGAGAGCAAGAAGACACGGTACAGCTGAACCACTCACGCGGTTTTCAAATGACTGACTTAATCTGATATTCTGTGTGAATTATTTTTTACTCATCTAACCTACATTGTATATTAAATACATGTTTGCGGGAAATTTCCAAACGTGCGAAACCTGCGGGAATGAGTAAAATCAAAATGCACAATCCCGCACCGAGATTCAGGACGTGATTAAACATATTCTATTATATAGAGATTTGTCAAATAAATTTCCACGACTTTTCCAAAGCTTTCTGGGTTTGTCATGACTGTACGAACCCTGTAAATGGCTATTTTTATTTTTTTAAATCGTCTTGATGAAATTTCTGCTCCACTTTGTGTGGTGGTAGTGAGACGGGACAATGTCCCTGTAAGATTTTAGGGTATCCTACAGTCTTTGGACGGGAGAGAGCGCTCAAAACTCTTCAGATTAATTTAGTGGAACATTAATATAATATAGAATCTTCTTCTGTAAAGAAGTGAGGCGTGAACATGTGATAATTTATCATTATCTTTGTAAATGTGCGCTCTTTTGGGCTAAAGGCTTAATGGAACCATTTAAAGTAGCCACGTGATCACAAATTAATCGGTGATTCGGCGCCACGCAGACATGATTTAATATGTGTGTCCTTTTTCTATGTGAAAAAAAATCATAAATTCCAGTTTATGCTGTTTGATTATGGCTTCGAATGTCGTAGTTGGCTGGCCCGTGTGCGCTGTTGAAATGCGGCTAATAATTTCTGACTGGCACATAACTGAACAAATGTAAACGGGTTAAGGCGGGGCCCAATCAAGCCCAATGGTAAGTCCGCCATGGATGTGGCCAATAATTAGAGATGCACCGAAATTCCGGATGCCGAAAATTAGTTCACGCTCAGGTTTCACTTTCACGTGGTGTGACGCTCTGCATATTATCCGCTCTATGCATGCTCTGCTCAGTCGCTTCACTCATATTCCATTCATGCTCATCGGAACAGCAAAGGCCACTCAAAATGCGAGCCGACAGGAAACTTCTATGTAGGACAGTATTGTTTCTGTCTGCAATAGCCCTACTGTGTGTAACATGATGTAGTATATGGGCAACTCAGGTAACGCTGCCCTCTCATTCATTGATCTGCTAACCGCTATGTTTAATGTTATGCTCACGTGTTCTGATAATAATAGCTTTCTAAGACTAAACATTATTTGGATAATTGGTAAAAAAAAAATACAGCTTTTTAAATATCTTAACCCTACTGTTAGACCTACCTGAAAAAAGCAATTTATTTAATTCGAAGGCCTGTCGTTATTTTTTATTTGTACTATCATTATTAATTTCTTTATTTGTTCTTATTTTATTACTGACTGCTTACTTGTCATTTTTTTATTCAATTCAAAGTTTGAAATCAAGCAAGAAAA